CGCATAGACTATTATAGAGTTACACTACATATCTCACATGTTCCACAAGCCAAAGTTTAATTCTGAAACTTGGTTGCTCACATTGTCGAGAAAAGGAAATCGGAATTATGTTGTCAGAGAAATAGACTTTCGGGAAGGGAGCAACAATGACGTAGTAATTGCATTGAAAGATACAAATGAACGTTACGTAATGCAATACATAATTATCTAAATTGATACATTTGATAAATCAAAATGTTATATATCCTTTTGATGTGTCAAAATGTCAATTGCAAAGCGACCAGAAAAAATTGACAATCATTAGACGTTGCTAAATGTCCAACGAAGTTAACCAATTGTATTTAGAAGATATATCACAGGATTTTCTTAATGAAATTATTAAAGAAATGTATAATTTGCATAATAAAGAATTTGAAAAGCAAGTTTTTCAAACCAATTATTGACGCATTAGAACAATTTCTAGTAGCAAAAAAAACAAAATTCGGATAATATTGTCAAATATTGCTTAGATAATCAATTCAATCCTATGCCTCAATTCATTCTTGCATTTTGTTATAATTTGGTAAATGGGTTGAAAAGGATGAACATAAGATGAGGTTCATCTATTTTCAAAAATCTGTAGAGATGAGGGACGCTAACGGAATTAATCGTGTTGTATATTGCTACAGAAATGGAACCGGAGTTGAAAAGAACGAGCATAAGGCATTCATTCATTATCAGAAATATGCAGAGATGGGGATGCCGTTGGAATAAATAATGCTAGAACTTGTTACCTTAGCTGAATGGAGTTGAAAAAGATGGACATAAGCATTCATTTATTATCAAAAATCTGCTGAGATGGGTAACGCTACTGAGATATATAATGTTGGATATTGTAATCATTATGAAATTGGAGTTGAAAATGATGAACAAAAGGCTTTTGAATATTATTTAAAAAGTACCGAAGGTGCGTTTGTTGATGAATGTATGAAGTTGGTGTGTTTATGAGAATGGGATTAGTGTAGAAAAGAATAAAGATTTAGCTTTTTGAATCGTATATAAAATCTGCTGTTACTCAACATATAGGTATAATAACTATTTCGGTTGTTTAAGTACAATAATTTTAGAAATATTGAAGGGGAAGGTTGTCCGTAATGTACAAATCATATAAAAGTCGACATGAAACGTATTAAGAAGTTGCAGTCAAGAATATATAAGATTCGCAATTACGTTTTTTAAATGGGGTTTTTCGCATGAACTTATAATATCATTTATAATTTAATTGTAATTTATTTTTTATTTTTTTTTTTAATTGAAGGCGTATAATAAGTTTGGTAACGAAAAATTTGGATCATTATGTAAAATCTTAAAAATATTTAAATTGGAGTGAAAATTAAATTCTAAAAACTTTATGCATCGAAATTTACATCCCGGTAAAATTTTGCTAAAAGAACATTATGGAGCTTATATTGATTTAAGTTCATCAATATCGTTCGATGAAAAACAGAATGGTCTTATTTATGGTGTTTTGGCATATTTATTGCCTGAAGTCAAGCTGCCGACATTAACAGTTTTGGAATTATTATGATAGAAATATTAACTGGTCGAAGACCCCTCAATGGTTATAATTTTGATGCTGAATTAGTGGCAATGATTTGTCATGGATTATGACCCAAATGTATTATAATAACACCAAGTGTTATGTTAAATTAGCCAAACAATGTATTAATTCAGATATGAAAAACATACCTACGGAGCCTACGGTTGTTGAGATTATTGAAAACTTGAAAAATGGAAAATATTATAGTCGACACAACAGTATTGTTAATTAGATATGAAAATAAGATCTAAGGCTGTTAGAATTTTTAATAAATTCAAAAAATGGAAAAAAATGAAAAAAAATTATAGTTGTCAATATTAGTAACGTTAAGATAGACGCATTGATTAGATGATTCAGATAATTCAGACGAAGAAATCAAACAGCAATTTTTAGAAGCTGATAAATCAATAAAGAATTATCAATTACCTCACAAAAACACGATAGCATTATGTATATTTCTAAACTAATTGATACAAGAGAAATTGTTTCAGAGTCTGAAAATTTTAGGATTAATCAATAACTTAATCCATCTAAAAAAAATAGTATTGATAATATTGGTAATTTATTTTTCAAAATTTTTATAAATGACAAGATTAAAAAGATATTAAGTACTTTGATATAGATTGATGATTGCATTACATACTCACTTCATAATTAATGTGAATAAAATGAGATCAGATAGTAAACGTTCATGTACATGAATAGCTTATTTTAAACCAACCAAGATTAATACGAATAATAAAAATTAAACACAAGGATTATGTGAATAATGGTACATTCCCAGCAGAAAAGCATTCGCCTTGCCTTAAATTATTTGTGTTAAACATAAAATTAAAAATAAATAATGAGCTTAAATTACAATTATAAAATTTATAAACTTAATAAAAGTGTAGTGGTAATTAAAACTAACAATTTTATTCTTTAGTAAGAAAGTAGTTAAATAAAAAAATTGTCAAAAGCAATAAAGATATGTAGACATACTTGTAATGGCATCTGATGCATTTATCTTGAACTTTAAATATAGATCTTAATAAATTTTGCTTAGTTTTTTGTTTCATTTCTTGCTATCCGACCATCAATTTCTAAAGTCGCGTTGATATATGGGGCCGTTGCAGTAGAAAGGGCCCAAACTCCCCCGGAAATCAAAATTGAGTTTTTGTAAGATTCGAATAA